TAAAGATAAAGATAAAGATAAAGATAAAGATAAAGATAAAGATAAAGCTAAAGAATAAAATTGCCACACTCGTATAAGTAAAATACTCATAAAAGTTTCACTTTAGTCGCGCTTGGAATTCACATACAACTTTTTTAAATAAAAGTGTACATTTTCGTCCCCCATGTATTTATCTTTTATAAAAATAATATCTAATTATAAAACACTTAGTCCCACTGTTGCTGTTGTAAAGCAATGCACATCTGTTGCTTGGCCATTTGTTATAAGATCAGCGATGCCGGCCGGCTAAAAGGAAAACGTAAATAACAACAAATATTTCCACCTATAATGTATGTCTGCAGGTAGGTATTTATGTACGTGCACTTGAGCGTGTATATGCATTTGAATACATACATACATACATACATACATACATACATAAATAAATGTACATTTGTATACGCTTTTTTTTGCATAATTTATAGAAATTCTAGAAAAACGAGTGGATGGTAAAACTATGAAAGTTTAAGTATGCTTATAGAAAATGTAGACAACAAACCGGTTTGCATGTTATATATTTATTAAAGGTGGACGAGTACCTTTCCAGATCGCCGTGTTGAGTTGAATGTTGAACGCAGATAATGACATTCAAAATGCATAAAATAACAACAATAACAATATACTTAGTTAAGTGGCCAGGCGAAACCGCTATCCCGCAGAGGTTAAGAACAAAGAGCAGAACATTTGGAAATGCGTCGGCATCAGCATCAGCAGAGATTTACTTATCTGCGGCGATGTAACGATTTACGATGACCATCGGAGGTTTCAAGTAGGCATTATTGCAAAATTAGCAGAAAAATTATTAACAAATTGCAGCAACAACAATGCAACACAAATGCACATTTATAGAAAAATTATAATACATATACATACATATGTACATAATCAAAGCAACGTCAAGCAGCTACGCCAAGCCAGGTTAAAGCGCTGAAAAATCAAGCTTTGCGAAATATAAAGGAAAAATAATCATTTTGGTGAATCCCGAGCTTGTGGTCGGCCCAACAACACTCCGGGTAGGGGACCCCGCATAGCCACAACGACGACGTTCGAAACCAACTAACTACATACATATGTATGTATTTATGTGGGTATGTCCATATGTAGGTACATGTATGTAAACAAAGCGCGCACATTGCCTATAAAAAGAAACTGGCTGGCGATGCACTCAACAGTTGAGTATTTGCGGTGAACTAGTGAATAGGCAGCGCTAAAATGGGTTTTACGAGAACAGTTTATTTGGCTACAGCCTTATTGGGCGTGGCTAGTTTGGCGTTGGTGCAAGCTGACGAACAAATTTGTAAGTCATATACATATATGTACATAAATGGAATATTTAGTTAAAAAACTCTTTGCTAATAAAAAAGAAAAAAATTAAAATTAAAATCAAAAACTGTATGTATGTATGTGTGTATATAGATCGCATGTGTGTGCCTCAAAAATACTACAAAGACTGCTTGGATCTGCTGAAGGATCCCTCTGAGGCTGGCATAAAAATGGAATGTGTCGCTGGACGTGATCGCATCGATTGCTTGGACAAAATCAATCAACGCAAGGCTGATGTGCTCGCCAGCGAACCGGAGGATATGTATGTTGCTTATCATACTAAGAATCAGGATTATCGCGTCATCTCGGAAATACGCACGAAGGAGGATAAGGATGGTGAGTGGTTAGTGGTGTACTCAGAAAAAAAGTCGTTATATGTATAGATACTTAAATCAAGCCCAAGTTAATACTTTTGGCCAAAAAAGTGCAGTAATACCTGAAATTTTTAAGCGGTAAATTCAATTCTTATTTAAAGAATTTTTCATTAAAACGAAATTTTGTGATTAGGTTAATATTTTAAATATATTTAAGACAATTTTTTTTTTAATTAAAAGTGTTGAAAGCCGAATTTTATTAAGCTTGAATTTGATTTATGACACTAAATTTTTCTGAGTGTAATGAATACAATATGTACATAGTTGTGCATTATACACCAACAAAAGTGTAACGTTTGTGCCAATTCAATATCTTCATTGCAGCCGAGTTCCGTTATGAGGGCATTATTTTGGTGAAGAAAAATTCGAATATTAACAGCATGAAGGAGCTGCGCGGCAAGAAATCCTGTCACACCGGTTTTGGACGCAATGTGGGCTATAAGGTGAGTGAGCTAATGCTTTTTGTGAAGAATTTGTGGAGGGTTTTTTCAATTATGCGTTCTTAGGAAAAATTAGACTTTGTGTTAAAAAAGTAGAAAATTTAATTATTAAATCAGCGAACAAAAATGACCGTTAAGTACCAAAATTTCTGTGTTTAGGTCACTGCAAGATCGATATTTGATCTTTATTTTTTCGGTCAAATTTAAATTTTGTTTTGTGATTTTTATTTATACATAGTTTAAGAAAAGTCGAGATTTTTAAACGCGCTAATCTTGAAAAGTACTGTCCGGATTTTGACAAGACTTTTCTTATTTTAATCTGTATTTATAGGAGCAAAAACTTTAGATTTAGAATATTTTCTAAGCCATTCCTAAAATATTTAGGTTTTAAATTTTCTCAGTTTCAGTGGTAACCGCAATTTAGATTTTTATTTTTTCGAGCACTTTAACCGTTATAACTTATACTGCGTTCTTATGAAGGTTTTGGGTCCTTTATGATTTAAAAGATTTAATCTGAAAACAACGGCATGTTATGATCGAAAAAATAAAGACCATGAAATAACTTTTAAAATTTATCATAAAAATATAAATCCAATTTCAATAGTTGAATCATGATTTTTTACTAAATAGATCATTTCCGTAGAACCGTGTCCCTGGAATAATTTTTTTATTTTTAACTCACCCATTTGTTTTAGAATTTTATTCATTCTAAGTAATTCACTTTTTGATCATATTTCATTATTCAATTATACTCGACACTCAATTTGGCGATCATGTCGCACATGTTACTCAAAAGCGTATTAACTCGAAATTTTTAACTTTAGATGTTATGTGTTGAAAATGTTATAATATAAATATTTAGTTGTAATTTGTTGCTACAAAACCACACTAAAGTCTCCCGTATGATTACAAAAAAAAAAACGCAGATAAATTTATTTGCTCTTAATGATCCTTTGCGATTATTATGTTATAACTACAATTACCAAAATCTGAAAATAGGGATAGCTCAACGATTATTTTTCATCGTAAAGTCCAAGTCTCAAAATATCATTCAAGTATGATCGAAAATTGCAAATCTAAAATTAACTAAAATTCAGCAGAGATCGCAAAATAACATTTCTGCTATGATTCGAATCGAAAGCATTATTCTTCATTATGATTTATCTACCAAATCTCAAAAAGGTACGGTCTGTGATTAAAAGTGATCTCCAGCTAAGACCGAGTTTTGTAATCATCGAAGTTAATGATTTTTTAGTTAAATAAGTATCAATTTCCGAACAAAAGTGATCCTCAGCTCACATATTTTTCACCGTCATCGAAGTTGGTGATTTTGTTTTGCCAAGAAGGTATTGTTTTCTTCTAAAATGTGATCTTCAGCTTAGACCGTATTTTCGTTTATTTTTTCGTTAAAATGTATGCATCCGAACCAAAAGTGATCTTTAGCTCACCAAAGCGAAAGATTTTTGTAGACAAAAATGATCAAGTTCCTAAAAAAAGCGAAAAGAGCTACTTTTATAATCATCCTACTAAATTGGTTTCAGCCAAAATAGCGATCGATAAAAAGCGATCTTTCGTTCACGTAACTACTAATTCTTTAAAAAATAAGTAACGATCCCCAATTACAAGCTATTTCCATTCAAGTGAAATATTTTTCAGCTAAGAAAGCTTGATCGTTGATCAAAAGTGATGTCGAACTCAGAATTTATTTGGCAATTCATTCCCCTGGTGATTCTCAAGTTATTCCTTAATAAGCTCATGTTTAGGTTATACATACATATGTTCTTATGAATGCTCTGGAATGTTCCAGATAGGTAGGTAGATTGCCAGAGTAGCGATTTTTCTTGCTTGGCCACGATCGAGTGAGTTCTCGGTTGAGTCTGATCTGAAAGTAATTTCCATCGAACCATAAGCGACACTAGAGACATGATCATACATATTATATATGTACCTACCTCAATTATGAATAGCGTAGTCTTACACGAATTAAACAATTATTTAGCAGCTTAGCTTTACATTTGTCGTTTCTAATTTATCTTGTGCATGACTTTAATTTGATCAACAAAAAAAAAAATTGAAAATCCCACTAATCTTGCTCAACTGCCCCTAATGACCAAATTAGCA